ATCTATTATGAGCCTTTGTTAAAGTATTATTTTTTTTCCTTATCCTAAGAGTAAGATAAAGATATTGTCTTGTAGCAATTTCTGTCATGGTTGATAGGTCCTTATTTCTTAAGTAATTAGCCCTGAGAAAAGCTTCCAGTGGCCTCATAAGTCAGTTCATACCATTATTATAGATGTCTACATCCCCTGCCCTGACCACAACTAACACTCTGAAGAGCCTGAACAAAGGATAGGTGTCTATGAGAGTCTGATTGTGAGCCCTCAAATTTAATTTTATGTCCCTGCTTTGTAGTTCTTTCTAAATGCAGTCAGGATGGTTGGTCTAAAGTGGATTGTGTAATTACATACGCAAAGTTATCTCAGTAACTCCTTTCAGCTTTTGTGTTAATTCAGTCGACAGATTTTGAATGACTGCTACATTCTCAAGTGTTTTTTTAAATCCTGGGACTAAAGCAGTGACGTCCTGGCTCTTATGGAGCTCACAGCCCACCACGAAGAGACAGATGCTAAGCAAGTTATCAAGCAAATATGCATTATGTCAGATGGTGATAGGTGTATGGAAAAAAATAACAACATAAGGAGAATAAATGTCAGGTGGAGAATTGGAGTGTTGAAATTTTTTTTTTTTTTAAAGCAGCTTCAAATGTCTGGCATTTAGAGGTTCTTTGCACGTAGAACATTCAGTCTCCTCTCTTTGGTGTATATATTTATAATTATATAAGACTCTCTGTGTGGTCATCCCACTGGCCTAGCTTTATTCTCTACTCCAACCCTTCTCGCAATCTCAAACCAAGACCGGTGTTTTACAGTCCTCATGAGCACAAGCCAGATTCCTTCCCAAAATTTTTTTTTTTTTCCTAGAATACCTGACCCTCCTATTCTGATTAACCAAATGGTAGCCATCCTTTAATACCTAACCGAAGTCCTTGCTCTCCCAAGGAATAAAGCTCCAACACAGCTCAAGCTCTATTTGACTTTTCTCTCTTTTGTTTCTGAATTCCTATAGGACCTAAAGCCACAAACCCAATTCCTAATTACACAGCTGTGTATGGTCTTTTTAATTAGTTTTGTATATAATAGTCATCTTATCTAGTGATGATGGAATCTATATAACCATTAGGGGTTTACCTTTGACTGTACTCTACAGGCCTTCTTGAAATGCTAGGGGGCATAGTGGCTACTCACAAATGTGAATTAAATATTAATTCCAACTGCAGCCTCATAAATATAAATCTACTCACCAGATTTCTTTTTTTTTTTTTTTTACTTTTCAAATTTAAAATACATTTTTATTTAATAAGCTCATGGATTTCTCATTTACTGATTTATAAAGAGACTTTGAACAACATTTATCAAGTGAAAGGACAAAATACTCTCCTTATATGAAAATAATAAAGAAATTAAACATCAAGAAATGTTTCTTATTGCTTCAGATGTATTACTTTAACAAAATCATAAAAGGGACATGATAGTTAAGTTTATTTTTTGTTAAATCGAGTGCTATAACAATAGAAGTAAATGAGTCTTAATTTAAAACTAACATAAATCACGAATTAAGTGAGAACACAAGCTACTGCACTAATTATGAGTTTTTCCATGCCATCTCCTAACAAGGAGGGAAATAATTGGATTAATGGGCCATGAAGACTATGTAAATAAGTACAGAAAAGCTGTCTGTGTAAAAACTTTACTCAAGAGTCTCGGTAAGAGTTCCTGAGCCAGTGCTGAGGCTCTGCCTGGGGCTTCTCTTCAGGTCACAGACCTCTTGGAAATCAGTAACCTAAAACCTTTCTATTTTTCAGGTTCATTTATTGAAGGCTCATTTCACATTGTACATGTCCCTCTGCTATCAGAAAGTAGAGCATTCCTATGAAACCTTTCATAAGACGAAATGGTATAAAGAAGCCGTTACCATTAACTTACACGTCTTCATTTCGTTCACCGTGATTGAAACGCTTAATTATGTCCAGTTTTACGCTAATCATAACACTCTTATAAGCTCTCTTATGAGTACACATCTTGCTAACGAATGCACAAAATAAATCTAGATAAAGCACAGGTGTTCATAGACACAGTTCAAACCTGTGGCAGCTTGATGCTGAGATGCTATGCTGAGTGTGGTTCCTGAAGAAGGAGCTCGAGGGCCACTCTGGCTGTTTGGGCTTTGTGCTGCTTCGGTAATGGCTCACTACAAAACGAACACTGAATGCTCTTTTCGCCTTTTTTTGTACAAGAATCTTAAGATTTCTTTCGGTTGGTGAAAACAGGCAGTACTAATGTAGGTATTTTGTAAAAGCAAACTGGCGTAAACTTTCGAAAAAGGATATCTGTACTAGGTTTTATGGGATGGCTTCTCCTTTTGAGAAGCTTGGAGTAAGTTTAAGTAATAAATATTATGGCTCTTGTGGATGGTACAGGCAAGAAATAAGTGACCATTCATTCAAAGAACCAAAGTCACTCATACCTTTTACTTACTGTATACTGACTAATGCTGTATGTTTAAGTCCAACAGACTTAAACTCTTGCATACCCTTTAAAAGATCTTCAAAAAATTGTATACCACTCACTCGTTTTTAAATTGGCACCCAAAGGTTTTTCAATGTAAGTTTCAGTTTGTTTGTTTTTGTAAGAAGGAGGTAGAAAATATTGAATATTATATAAAATGAAGGTGAGGATCGACTGCAACTAGAATCAGTATTTCGTACAATTTGAAAATAGTTGTTCAGCATCTTGTGAACCAAAAGCACACCGAATCTGAAAGACTTGAATACAGTTTTAACATGTTGGTAGTCCTGCCAAATATTCCAGTTAAAAGACTCCACCTCGCGAACCTTATAACCCTTTCAGAAGTCCTGAATTCAGAACACCCCAACTCAGGCCCAATCGCCCTGTTTCTCATGGCAAATTTAGAGTATGTATGAGACCGAAGGACAAGAAGCATACGGATTTAATCACTGATTTGTGAATTTTGCTTGATTCCTTCGAAGTGTTTTACCCCCCCAGAGGAAGTATATTTGGAATGGCAACATGTGCAAACTCAGTCCTCATGTCAGACAAATAAGTTTTAGAAAAGATCTCATGGGAAAGTTAAGGAACTAGAAATTTCCCCCCTAAAGTTGTCTATGACTGTTTATTTCTTAGAAAGTCTGTGTTTGATGCTTGAAGACTGCTGTGATAGTTGAACAAGTAGCCAGAATAAACAGATGTGCTGGCCCCTTTAGCTTTTCATGAAAGCAGTCAAGGAATCCAGCGTGGTACAGGTTACGTGTAACCTGTGGCTTCTGTCTTTTTGTTGGAAAGATACACATCTTCACTGTTGATATATAAGCATTTCGAACTGGAAGAAAATAGCATAACTGAAAGTTAAGTCTAATGAAGCATAAAATATATTTTATTTGAATTTTGGAAATATGGTCTCAAAAATGTGCCTGTAAAGTATCTAATTTGCTAGTTTCATGAATTTTAGTTGATTTCATTTTATAAGGCTATGAGGATTTTGGCAATTATACCTTAGAACTGTCATTTTAAAATAATACGATCATTCACAAATGTGTACAATAATTCAAAAAGTAGTGTGTTTTGTGAATAAAATTCAGTTTATTAGAAATTTTATCTTTATTGTCGTATGTGGTTATTCCAAAGACTTACTTCCACTGAGCAACCTTGCAAATTAAAGTTTTTTTAAGAGAGATAATCCAGATAAACAAAATATTTTACCTCATACTTTAGAATCAGAAATTACATTTTTATGTTGCTTTAAATTAGCATCAGTGTTTGCCTCTCAGTAATCAATAGGATAGCCTGGTTTTCTATTGTGTAATTTTATTTTTAGGATTTCTCTTTTGAGTTTTTTCCAGACCATGTCTGACATAATAGTGGTGATTTTGACAAAATGTTAATGTTAAAATTCCAAATTTAAATTACATATTATTGAAAGGAAACTAAATAATTTAAATGATCATTGATTTTAATCATTGTAAAAAATTTTTGAGTTAGAGTTTTTTTCATAAGACATAAACACTAGAACTCTATTTCTCAAAATGTGTGTTTTTCGAACCTTGTCCTGACCATGTTGATGCTAGGTAGTTAAGATACAGATTCCTAGACCTGCCACCAGGGAATCTGATTTTGGTCGAGCATCCTGAGTGACACTGAGGCACACTAAAGTGTGAGAGCTCTTACTCCAGAATAACACTACGTAGTCATGAATGATCCATAATGGAAAGAGGTACCTCCAGCCCTTGGTGGCAGAGTTTAAATAATAAATTAATAAAATAATTTTTCCAGGAGACAGACCCCCCCATTGCTTACATCTTGATTAAAATAGCCTAATTCAAATTCCAGTTTCTTATCTTTATAGCTATGAAGTTTTATCCTCATTACTTTCCAAAATACCAAGTATTTTTATCACTCATTACAAACTATCCTGCAGTTACATACAGAATATTTGTAAACTGTGCTTACCTGAATTGCTGTAGAATAAATGTTGAATTAATTGCTGTAAATGACCTGCTTAGTAATTTTTAAATATAGATCTCTAGTGATAATGCTAAATAACACATTCAGATATTTTAGTTTAATTCAATAAAATGGAACCAGTACAACCTCTGGTTTCACAAATGAAGTGTCAGCTCTCATGGGGCCCTTGCACTCTGCAGTAGGATAAATAGCACATTTCTGTCTCACTTTTTTCCTAAAACTAAGGCTGCCTCTAATCTCGTTCTTTCCACAAACCTTCACGCACTAAACTATGTGCCAGTGACTCGAGAAGCTCATTTTGATTGCAATGGGCCATACTCTTGTCTAGTACATCATTTGTGAAACTGAAGTTGGCTATTATAATGCAACAGGTATGTAAATAACATTTATTAGTGATCTCTGTAAAACTGATTCCTTCTTTCCCTTTTCATTATAAAAGGAAACTTTATTTCAGAGTAGAAAGTGCATTGTCTGAACTCATCAACACCCTCTCTATCCCTCCCCTCCCCAATTTGTTGCAGACCAGGATGAAAGAGCAGCTGAGCTCAGCAGGGAGCAGAATGAGAAAACCATCCGGAGCACGCAGACTGCGCTCCGCAATTTCCGCGAGTTCCTTATCTCCAAGTATCCTTCTGAAACAAGAGAGATTTATGTCATCCCTTGTAAGGAGTTGGATGCCTACCTCGCCTCTTTCTTTGTGGATGCCAGGCAAAAGGATGGGTCCGAATATGAACCCAACAGCTTGGCCAATTACCAGTGTGGACTGGAACGGTACCTGAAAGAACACAGGTATGGCTACAGCATCACCAGGGATAAGGAGTTCAAGCGTTCCCAGGAGGCCCTGAAACAGAAGCAAATTGAACTCCGCTGCAAAGGGAAAGGAAATAAGCCACACAAGTCCATGAAGCTCACCTTCGCCGATGAGCTCATTCTGCGGAAGAGGGGACTGCTCAGCCGATATAACCCTGAGGGTCTGCTCAACCTTGTCTGGCTCAACAACACAAAAGCTTTTGGGCACTGCACAGGCTTCCATGGATCTACCTTAAAGTGGGGCGATATCCGGCTCCGGGTAACAGAAACGGGGCTGGAGTACTTAGAATGGATGGGTCAAGACACCGGTGACCTGAATGCCAAAACCAAGAGAGGGGGGACAGACTCCCGGGTGTATGCCACCCAGCACGCCCCGCAGACGTGCCCCGTTCAGGACTATAAGGAGTATGCCCAGCGGCGGCCTCCTGCCATGCGCTACGAAGATGCCCCTTTCTACTTGTCCATCAAACCAGTTGTGAACTTGGCAGCTCTGCATTGGTACAACTGCCAGGCCCTTGGCAAGAACAAGCTGGCCAAGATGGTGAAGACCATGTGTGAGAAGGGCAACATCCCTGGCAGGAAAACCAACTTCAGTGTGTATCAGAGCTGCAGCACCTTGTCGGAGGCCCAGAGCAACCAGCTGGTGCTTATCTGTAACAATCTGAGCCAGCAGGCGGCCCAGTCCGTGGCTGGGCACTCCAACAGTGGCAATTTTATCGTCTCCGCCTCCTATGACTCTTCCTCAGATACTGCTTGACCAGGTGGCTTGAACAAGACCCCAGTGTGGTTACTGTGTCCAGAGAAACTGTGATTATACACTGCTTCTCGATCCCTTTCCTCTACCCTCAGTGTTAACTTTATAAAAATATATATAATATATTTTTCTTTTTACAAATAAGCCAATGGAGATAGTTTAGTATTACTAACATAGTATTTATAGGCTTAAAACAAATGTACTTGTGGGTGATTAAATGTAATTACTGTTACAGACTTTACAAAACCATAGTGGTTCTCAGGCAACACAAAGTAGAAAAGAAATTCCGTTTGTTTGTTTGTTTGTTTGTTTTTTGTTTTTTTTCAAAAACTCAAAAAGGAAACAGTCATCCTAGACACTTGTGTCCTCAACTCCTGCCTTTCTTTCCCACCTCACCTCTCATTTTTAGTCTACTTAAATGGCTTTATTTTTTTAATTTTTAAAATTCTCTACAAATCAGAAGATAACACTAACTTTACTGCTTATACAAAATCGTATTCAGTCAGATCCAGAATATGAAAGTTTGATAAAAGCTCGACATCAAATTATTTATATACTCTCTCTTTTTTCTTCTTAATATGAAAACCTAGAGGTTTAGCTAACATTTTGTGTCCTGAGTGGAAAAGGGATACAAGGAGAGAAAAAAGGTGCCATTCTTTTTGGAACATATATAATTTTTTAAATAATATGCAAAGTCCAATATTGTGGCAAAAGAAAAAAAAAAGACTGTTATATAGCTCATTTTTTACTGTTGTGCTTGAACCTGGGTACAATTTTTTCTTCCTTAAAAAAAATTAATGTAAATGAAATTTGATTACCAGATTCACAAGAAATTTAAAATGACCAAAGCTTTGAAAATGTTCCCAAGCATTAGATTGTATATCAAGCATAAAGAGAAGGCAGAGAATGGAAAAGTTCTTACTTAAAGATCTAGAAGCACTAGTTAAGACAACAACAACAAAAAATCTCATCTTCTTCAAAGCTCAAATCCCCCTTGAATTATTTATTTATAAGCATTAAACTTCAGTATCTTTCCCCTAGGGGATTACTTGACTCTGTAGTTGAGATCAAAGGAATATTGACACTCATTTTAGGTAACATTTTGTTACCAGATTTAGCTGAATTCAGAGCATTCTTGAAAATGTGCAGAGTTTCTTCTACAGTAAATATAAATGCATTTTTCTGTAACATCTTGGAATTATAACACTTTGGGTTATACAACTCTTTACAGTGATTTTCCCAAGGTCTTTATTTTCAAGTCTTGAAGCCTGTGATGAATTATTAGTTAAGATACTGTAAAAATAAAATAAATTTAGACAGGAGCACAGTGAAGCTGAACTAGTTTCCTATCTTTTATAATCATTAATATAAAAAAATCCAGATCTTAATTGCTTTGTTGGATCTGGGCATTCTATTGGAAAGTATTTGTTCTTCAAGGCAACCTCGCAATTCCCATTAGCTGGGAAGGTAGGTGGTGTTTTATGTATTAGTTTATTGTACAACCAGGATAAATTTCATTTTGATTTCCTTTGCTAAATCATCACATTAACTGAGCTTTCCCATGGCTATGCAGCTCTTTGCAACACTATCACAGCACATAAAGACCCATTCCTCGAAGCTGTGGCCTTTGGCTCAGGAGTAGGAAGTCTGTCGTGGACTTTGTGTGGTGGAATCAACTTCATTTCATGACTTTTCCTCCATAGATACCCATCCAGAAACAAGAAAGGGCAGAAGATATCTCGCTTTGTTTTTTGTATTGATAATGATGATAGGTACCATTTTTGAGCCAGAATGTGTGCCACCACTGTGCTGTGACTTACATGCATCACTTATATAAGAAATAGTTACTAATTGTATGAAAACTAGAAAATACAGATAAGCATAAAGAAAACAAAATATATATTTGTAAATCTGCTAGCCAAAAATAACCACTGTTAACATTTTGGTAAATATGTCTTCAGACATTTGATAAATACATATTTATTTCTATATACACCTTTAATCCTTTCAACAACTTTGAAAGGAAGATGCGTTATCTCCATTTTATGTTGAGATCAAGACAAATCAGTTAGGTTGTAGCTAAGGAAATGGTACTGTCATCTGACTCCAGAGTTTTTTCTATTTACCTTTCTTAGTTCCAACTCATAATTAGTTTCCAGAGATTTGAGCGAGATATGGGGACACAGTGTCTTCCCATCTGTCTAGGCTGTCTGATGAAAAGGAATGCTGAGTTATCTTTCATGGGGGCATACTGTGACCTCCCGTTCATTTTGAACCACAGGGTCTCTTTCTCCCAATTCTCTTTATTCTGTTCTCGTTATTCTATAACTGGTCTCTGAGTGCACAGGACAGCCTACTGTCAAGAAACTTTAAACATAAGGCTATTTTTACATAGGTTACCTTTCATGTTTTAAAAAAGATTTCTGTAAAACACTTTAAAATGTTGTTATGCATTTTATTTTTGCATTGACATATTTTTTTTTTAATTCTTGGTATGTTTTTGGTAGGAAAGTAAGTTTGTCATAAGGACGAAGGGCAGTCAGTATGCACTGAGAAAATGGAACTAGGAAATTTCAGATTTCTATTCGTGTTTACCATTCAAATCTCTTCTGTTTAATTCTGTTGCATTTTCATGTAGAAGAACACAGATTGAGAATATGAATTTTTTATTTATTTATATTCTGCTTTGATAAACCAAATAGGAACATTGTGACAGATTTAGAAAACTGTTTCCTGAAGAATGGCTTGGTAGAAATATAGCCAAATTATAGTATCAATTTGAGTTAGTCAAATTATGAAAAATTATCTCTAACTACCTCTAAATTTTGTGTTTTTATATAAACAATACTGAGGACATGCTACTGCCAGATGCCATTTTTATTATTTGTTATCATAACTTAAATTACCTTCATACTGTGGCAGTGGTAAATGCAAAAATCATACGTGTGTTTTAGCCGAAATTCAGCAGGTATTCACTACAACAGAATGTGCTGCCTTTCCAAGCAATTTCACAGTTCATCCAAAAACAAAACTTTATTTGCAATGTTTACAGTTTAAGGTCTGGGTGATGTCAGGTAAGAAATTTCCCAGTGCCCCTCACATGACTCTGGAAGTTTTGCACTAACTAAACCAAAAATGCCAGACCCATCCATCAGTTTGGATGACAAAGCTATATAATCAGTCTTTTATATTCATGCGAGTAACTGGCTATTGAAAACCACAGATGTTTGAAAAGGTTAGCAATATTCAAGATGTTTATTCTTGAGATTCTCTTTGTTATCTTGGTTAGTAGGGCTGGTCTGAATAGGATTCATTAATATACATCAGCTATTTAAAACATTTGTTATTTTATAATTGTTTTTCCCAGTGTTAAATTTTTCGTGTTTCACATTCCCTATGTTAAATCACATCCTCATCTACAAAAGAATAATCAGAAAATTGTCTAGTATAAGTTGAGTCTCTTTGGTTTTTTCAATTAGATCATTGTTAGCTGAAACTTTCATCATATTAACCTGTCTATGTCCTGTGACTTAGCTTCCAGACGCCATGAAATCAAATGACTTCACTGAGATGAAAATTAATAGTCATATAACAAGTAATCGAGCACCTAGCGTACAAAGGGAGGGTACAAAGATGGGAAAATAGTCCCTGCTCTTAGAATTTATAAAGGCTACTATAATGTTTCATTTCATTTTTGAGAGCCCAGCAGAAAAACTATGCCACTACTTTTTTTCATAGTTTTCCAGACTTTGTACTCATGTTATTTAGCCATTGAATATGTTTATTTGCTATAGAATACGTAATACTGGTTTGAGTATTTTGTGGAGAATCTTCCTTAGAGTCTGTTTTAAAATCAGTAAGGCAAAGCCATTTCTACAGCCATTTTGTTCACACAAGTGTATGCATGCATAGGAATCAATGACCATCATTAGTTGAATTCTTACCATGTACCATAGTACTAAGTGTTTTTGTAAGCTGTTTCACTTAGTTCTCACAATAGTCCTCTGAAGGTGGGTGTCATTATTTCTCTTTTCTAAATGAGGAATCCAGAGACATCAAATGGGTTGCCCATGTCACAATTGATACTTAAGAACATCAGGATCTGAAACTAGATCCAGACACCATTAAGCACCATCCTTTTCTGCTGTAGCTGCTTGTTCACAGAGTGATTTGCTGTGCTTCCGTAGACTCTCTGAAATGACAAATTATAAATGAAACCCCTGGTGTGATAAAATCATCAATATTCTTTCAGCTCTGAGTTGATTGAGAGCAGTGCCATCACCTGGCGTGTTTGTTAGCGCATCATTTAGGCCCTGTTATTGCAATTATTTTGAGATAGGACATTCAGCAGAGTTTGTTTCCCCCTGGCCATGAGAGCAAAAATTTGTGACACTCTTTAAAGAACACTTAACTTTGTTGTAGAGGTGAGTGAGTATGTGCACAAGGAATTATATATTTAAAAGTGATTGCCATTTGTTTTTACCCCAAAGAAACCAATTTCAAGTGAGTTCCTTTTATTCAGACAGGGAAGCGGGGAGGTTCTAGGCAGAAAGCACACCTCTCTTGAGCCCAAAAGTAATAACTGCCATCCACCAAATACTAAATACTGGTTGCCAGTCTGCCAGGGACTTTGGTCTTGCCTGCATATTTGGTGCCAGTAAATTAGCTATTTAATAAAGTGTTTTATTATTTTTTAATTAATCATGATTGTTTATAACAGAGCTTTTGGGGAAAAATACTGTCCTTATGATTCTCAGAATTAGATTGATTGTGAAACCATTCAGATTTTTTTCTAGTTTGACTATCTCCACAGTTTAATATATGAGGCAAACAGTCCCGATTTTAACCAGGCTTTTTCTGACTGGTTTTCTTTAGTTATAGGAAAGATGTATTTTGATCTTTATTTCTCTAAGCAAAATAAAGCTGTAATACTTAGCATCTATAAATAAAAACTCCCTACCATATAATGAAATAAATTTCTAAGCTTAGGGGGAAAATCAAGGAGAGTATACAATAATTTATTGCAGTAAGATATTTTTTTAAATGTTTATTCATGAAAAAAATAGTTATAACTACTAAAGAGTTAACAAGTTCTCAATCATTTTAATATATTTTTCTTAAATATGCAAGATATATCTCTGCACCTCCACCATACGATATGGTGCAGATAGTTACTTATTAAGAAACACACCATAGCAAGGGCACCCTCAATTGTTTTTTATATGTTTTTTTCTTAATGCGTGGTAGTCAGACATTGCTTCTCTTCTCCTCTTGGAGTTACCTGAGATGATAGGAATACATAGCTTTTTATATGGCCAAGTAATACAACTAGGATGATTTTAAGAGATCCTTGCCATAGAATATAACTGAGATAAAGAAATACACTGCATGTCATTCTGTTGATGGGTGGTATATTTCCAATTATATAAAAGAAAAGGCGGGGGGTGATATTGGTAAACTGCCAACAACTTTGATTTTACTTTTTTAAACAGAAAGATAATCAAAGTTTCTTATTGACCAATTTATAAATTTGGGCCTGCCAAAGCTGAGGGAAGGACCTGATATGGTATTGAAGATTGCATTATTTTTAAACTGAGTTTTTATGTAAACCATGACCTAATTCAATTAGAGTATTAAGTTAGAATACTAATTTGGTTCAGAATATTAATTAAACCATCATCTTTATTGAATTATAATCATAGAGACTGGACCTGGAAAGGACCAAAGAGATCATCTAGCCCAGTGATTTTCAGTACTACGAAGAGTGAGAGTCACCATTCTCTTGAGGGAAGGGAGCATGAGGTCAGGGAGATGGAAATTGCAAAGGGAATGCATCATGAAACATAGGTTTCCCAGGAATTCTCACCTTCCCTATCCTCCTTACCTTCCTACTTTGAGACTCACTAGACCGAATGAGCTATTACGTATGTCTTTTACACATCTTCAGGTATACTGGGCTTTAATATAGGACTGGAAACATCTAATCTAACCCACCCTCCTCTTTTACAGAAGAGGAAAACAGCCCCAGACAGATTAGATGAATGCCCAGGTGCATGCACCTTGTCAGAACCAAGACTAGAGCCCAGGCATCCTGACTTTCAGTCCATAAACAGTGTTTAGGGAGGAAAAACAATGCTATATTCCTCCTGAGTTAGAAAGGATATCCTTGTTTTCAAAATGGTAAAAATGTTAAACCCTCAATCAAGTTTCTATTAGGAGTACATTCAAGCCGCCAGTGTTCAAGTAGGCTTTTTATTGAATGTGAATTTTCACTATTCATTGCATGTGAATTTTCACTTTTCATTGTGTAGTATTATATCTTGATTTTAGCAACTTCTTTTGAAATTTGATGGGATAATCTCCAAATGTCATCTTCCACCTTTTTATTTTAATGAACATCTCTTAGCCTACCCCATCTATATTTAGTTTTCATTTATGGAGAGGAAACGAACTATAGTTTTCAGGTATAAGAATTCCAGTTATAGGTTATAAACTAAAAAGTAACTAAAAATTTTTCATATTCATTTGAATATCCAGCTACATAGCATCTATGTTATTGGTTTTGAATGTAGTCTGTCATATCCCTTTTTAGTATATGGAGAGTTTAAAAAGTCATCTTGAAGGTTTCGGGCATATCTTCAATCAAAATGATCAAATTTCTATCGACATAATTAGAATTTTTCTGACATGAATTTATTTAGAGATAGGAAGGGGACAGAAAATGGGAACTATGAAAGTGACCTACAGCAGGAAGATGTAGAAATACAAAGTATTTGTAAATTCTCATATTATCTTGCTTTCTCTTCTAAAAAGGAATTCAAGCATAAAGATAAAAACATTTTATAATTTTGTAATTTACAGGTTATACTTAATCATAGTTGAAGAAAAAAGGTGAAATTCTAGGATATTAAAAGGTACAATGAAACTTTGTCTTTTGAATGAAATGTTGAATTTTGCTAGGTTTCTAATGTTTTTTTGTTTTTGTTTTGTTGTATTACACTGGAATTAGCATTTTCACCATGATACATTCATTTCAAAGAGCTTTGAAATTGGCTAATTTATTTATTTGTGGTAGGCAGAATTAGGAAGGCATCAGCAATATAGACTCCTAACAGTAATTGTGCATACTGTATTTAAGTGATTTTTATGCCTGTTTACTTTCTGTAATTCTTACATTTTATAAATCAAATACCTTAGTATACTTCCACTAGAAAATAATTTATAATTGATTATTTGTACTGGATGAAGTAGCAGGTTCATTTTAGTATTAATCCACTGAGATTAACTTTATCCGACTGAACTTTTATATCTATAATCCATTATATTACAACTTTTTAAATAGCATTTATAACAAAGAACTTTTGTTTTATAAAGTATTTGTTACAAAAATAATCTTGCCAAAAACCATTACAATTTCTATGCATTGTGTAATATTCAGTGATGTCATTGTTGAAATTTTGCATGTTATTGTAGGGTGCTCTTTCATATGTGTGTTTGTGGTGTTTACGTGGAATTGTTATCCATTGCTGCTATCCATTATCGTAGTTGAACTGACAAACTGTGCTAAGAGGCTGTGCCAGTCAACATTTTATGTGTGATTTGTGGAATTATGTACTTAGTTGTTGAATATTTCGAGCCAGCACTTAGTGTCCTCTACAGGAGGAAATACTGCTTTTGTCAAGTAGTGCCAACTTCACAATCTTGTTTCATAGATATGATTCCAGGTAGCTTTTCTCCTCGCTGTCTCCAGCTCTTTGAAAGGGAAGCATTTGCAAAAAGAGAAAGCAAGAATTCTGAACTTTTCCGGTATACCTCCCCCACCTTAAATCTTTTTTTTTTTTTTTTCTAATAATTGAGCACCTTTCAGAGAAATCCAATAGAATAACAATGTAGCAGCATAATTTCCTTTGATCAGCATATTTTTAGGTTGAACAATGTAATAACAGAGGACTAGGAGGTACATACATTATTTTTGTTGGTTATCATGGCTTATTTAAATTGTATTTAATAAGAATATTTAGTTTTTAAATTACATATATAAGGGGCCATAGAAACCTCAGAGTTCCCAAATATTAATTTTATATTCAGCATTCGCATGAATTTATTTAACACATTTGGTTGCCTTATGACCATCAGATTTTTTTCATGCCCATGTGTCTTTAGCTTGGTTTCTAGTATTTCCGTTTTATCTCAGCAATTCTAAACTCTGCAAGTAAAGAGAAAATTATTTCAATGAATTAATTCTACCATTCTACTTGTTAAAATTCAACATGAGAGAAAAATCAACATACATTTATACTCTTAAAATAGAAGAGTAACTGTCATAAATTTAAGAAAAGAAGGCTACTTCCTTAAGAGCCTTTTTACACCAACATGCCAAAATTCCTCAGTCAGTGCAGGGTTTCATTCTGTCTGTTCAATGGGTTTATAATTATAAGATTCCTTTAATAAAGGGATAATCTCCTGGTTTATATAGAGGCTTTTTGTGTGACTGTCAGATACACGGCAACAGCCAATGCTGTATTTGGAAACATTGCTGCTGAAATTGCTGATTTAATTCTAAGAATATTAAAACTAATTCATCAAGGCCCCTGCTTCTTCTTTTCTTAAAGGAAAAGAAAGGCAGATCTTAACTGTGAGCTTTTCTCCAGAATACGTTTTAAACATTTGCCCTTCAAGGAAGGTAATAAAGCAATAAAAGGAAATTCAATTATGCGTATTCTAAAGAAGTTCTGCCCTTGTCCCGTGGCCTCCACAGTAACACTGAAGTATTTCTTGATTCCTGCGTCGGGAGTTTGCAGACAAGGCCTTTGTACTTAGAATTCCTTTTATATTTTGGACACCAAAGATGATGGCATGATATATTCTGACGATTAATTAACAGTTTCGGTTAGATAAGCAGTGGGCACATTTATTTGAATCCTGCTCTTGGATTTATTTACCCCCTTTGGGTCTTCTGTACATTTTGTATGTCTGTCCTGAGGCCTTTTTTGCCTAGGGCGACTTTTTAATCAAATAATGCATATATATTTATTAGGTTTCTAATTTATAGAGTCTGTTTCCACCGTGACTTTAAACTTTTTTTCACTGCTAATGTTAGACATGGATTTTCCAGATTAGCCCCGTGGTGAGCAATAATAGCTTGTACCTTTTTCATTGTGATCTGAAAATGTCACTGTAACCCTGTAGGCTGAAACCTGGTGAGGGAATGACTGGAAGCGTTTTGGATTCAAGGGAATCACTGTATATGACTCATTCATCCGTTTAAATGAAGGACTCTGGTGGTTTAGTAGAATGAATGCCGTGTCCAACTTAAGGTCTTCCATCTTTCTTACAGATTATGAGAATGATTGTAAGGTTCCTTGTACTCTACCACTGGGAAGTTAATTGGGAATAAAAAGGTAGATTTATCAGTTTTGTCAGTATAATTTAATACCAGGCATCTTTTTAGAAATATAACCACTAAAAATAACACTTAGAAAAAGTTTATGAAAAAATAGAACTGTCCTTTAAAGATGCATTTACTTTGCCCACTACTTGATAGATTGTCACTTTTGATACATTTTCTGGCCACTTGGCTTTTAACTAATTGACATGAAAAAAGCACACGTGTGCCTGTTCACGCTAATCATATTTAAAAATTCTCAAGCTGCTACAGTTATAATTTGCGAAAGAGGAGAAAAGGTGAATTGAAATGGAGAGAAATTTCTGTTAAGATGTTAAAATATGTGATTGTGATACTCTTGGTTAATATTCTGCCAGGTGATATTTGTAATATGATAGAACTTTTTTGTTAATAAGAATATTCTCTTGGTTTCATTTTTATTTTGCTGCTCACTGATCTTTTACACTGAGATGTTTTCATCTTTATCAGCTCACTGTTTCTGCTTCATATTTGTCTATGTACTTGTGCTCTAAATAAAATACTAGTACTGTGTCCCAATGGTCTATTCCATTGTGTGTATAATGTTTGCCTCTAATGTAAGTGTAATTTTCTCTTGTTTTTAATATTTGTTGGTACAGCCTAAAACTTATGGAAATAAGAAAAACAATCCAATAAAATCAGCTAATGAGTGTCAGTTATGTCTGTATAATGAGAGCATGTTTTAATCACCGTATTTTGTCTGTTTTGGGGTATGAGCAGTCTTCATTCATTTAATAAGTGGTTTTCTGCAAAGGTGGTTGATTTTTGTAGCCACAACAAACAATTTAAAAACAAGTTAAACCGTATTTTGAAAAACAGAATTGCCCCAGTCACTAAGCCTTAGCCCCTTATAGCCAATGCATATTGAGCAAAGCATTCCCTGTCACATGTTTCTTACCACTGAGGAGGGGGAAATTGTGGAAGGAGAAGCATCTCTACCTGTGAGTGCTCAGAAACAGCCCATGGGGTAGGGAAGACGTTTCAAGAAGGCATCAACAGCTGAATTAATCATATGTTTCCTGGAGCCCCAGTCTCCAAAATCCTGTTAATGAAGCAGAAGGCTTCACTGCAAATTCACCATCTCTCTGTCTGTGGACCTCTGTCAGACAACTGTGTTATACCAAGCTAAGTAGAAGTCAGATTCTAGACCGCCTCGTTTTTAAGAAAATCTTTTTGGTCAGATACAGGTCTCCATGTGACGTTCATTACCTTTAGTACATTTGACAGAAAGTCTCTTTTGAACAGAATAGGAGAGGTTGTTCAAAATGAGTGTTAACTTCAGACATCTTTGTGTCACTAAAATTATTGAATAAAGCATATTAAAACACCAGAAAATATAATGTTCTCTCTCACTGTTAATTATTTTAAAGAAATACAAATGTAGTTCTTTCATACGTATGAATAATCCACCAAAGTCTTTACTCATGTAAAGCTGAATATTACAAATAGAAACAATGATTGTATTTTTGTATGATAGTATTTTAAATATTTAAATTACTTTATAAATAGTTGTAACTTAGTTTATGTTTTCCTAGTACTTTAAGAAACAAGTTATATATTTAAAACATGACAAATTTTACTCACTGATAGGGGAAGGATATTAGAACTCAGATTGAGTAATATTTAGCCTACAAGTCAGAAAATTTTTTTTAAAAAGTTAATTTATTTATTCATAATCTTTCCCAAGACGATTTCAAGTGACTAAAGTAGCTAATATGTATAACATACTTAATGTTGGTGATATGTCATCTGAAGAGATAAAAGCAAACATTGAATTTGGTGGCAAACATTTTTAGACTGAACTATCATTTTTTAAAAACATTTTCTTTATTAAAATGTATGTTTTTTAAATGTTGAGGCAAAGGTTCATTGTGAATAATTTGGCAAAAACTAATAAGTATAATAAAATAAGAAATAAAAATCACAGGAATCTTACCCATAAATAACAACTTATAACATTTTGATGTTTTCTTTTGGAATTTTTTTAAGCATACAGGTACACTTGACCCTTGAACAAAGTGGAGGGTTAGGTGCACTGATCCCATGCAGCTAGAAATCTGCATATAACTTTTAACTCTCAAAAAATTTACCAGTAGACTACCATTGACTGAAACCTTACATCAGTCAACACATATTTTGTATGTTATATACTATAGTCTTACAATAAAGAATCTGTTACTTAAAAAATCAAGAGGAAATATATTTACAGTACTGTACAGATTTATTGGGAGAAAATCCATGTATAAGTGGACCTGTGCAGTTCAAGCCCATGTTATTTAAGGGTCAACTGTACTTTCAAAAATTGTAGTCAAAATGTATTTACTGTTTTGTACATTTGTAAAAGATCTTTAGCCTTTGAAAGTGTGATTATTTAGCTACATAGTTTTCTGTTGCACAGTAGTACCAAAAGCTATTCTGTTGTACTATAATGTTTTTGCTGGATTGGATTTATTTTCAGTTTTTCACTTTTATAAAATATGCCTTAAAGAACACCTTCGAGCATACCTTTTTATACATCTATCTGATTATACCCTTAAAATAAATTTCTAAAATAGGAATTCTTGGGTCAAATAAAAAGTATATTTTATTTATTTTTCCCACATATGCATTTCCAAAGTCCTAGTGATTTTTTGTAACTTGCAAAAATAATACATTCATGTTGTAAAGTTTAGAAGTCCCACAGAGGTAATGACTAACTGATGTGATATATCTCCTCCTAAATTTTTTTTCTATGCTCGTGCAAGTTCCTCTGCATCCTAACCAAGATTTAGAAATGGACCTTTTTGTACTTTTGCCAGTCTGATAAATGAAATACATCTTAGTTTGATTATAATACCCAATTATTACTAATGTTTTTTGTCATTTGTATTTCTTCTATGAATAGTTGCTTGTATGTCTTGGGCCTATTTTCTTGAGTTAGCTTTTTCCAGCTGATTTATAGTAGCTTTTTAATATGTAGTTTGTCACTTTGTAAGTATTTTTTCTAGATCTGTTTATTGCATTTTAAGATATATCAAATGCAGGACTTTGAATTTTTTTTGTCATCTGATTTGTTAATCTATTTTTTTTATGCCTCTGGGTTGTGTCATACTGAGAAGGCTTTCCTTACTCCTGAAATCATGAAAATTGTCTTCTTTATGGAAATAGCTTTTTGAAATGATCAATTTGGAAATGTGTTACTTGTGTGTGGAATGAAATAGGAATCTAAATATGCTTTTGTTTTTGTTTTTCTAACTCGGTAGCTTGTTATCTCAAAGCATCTATTGAAAAGTCCATCCTTTCCCCAGCAATGTGAATTGGAGCCTTTATTATATACTCAGTTTGCATATTTACACAGATCTTTTCTGCACTCTCTTCTGTAGTATTGATCTATTCGCCTATTTCTTTACCAGAACTTAAACTTTAAATTATTGCGGTGTTATAGTACCTGTTTACATCTTTCAGGGCAAGGCCTCCCAATCATTATTTTCTAAACTGTAGTCCTTTTCTTATGTATTTACTCTCCTAGGCAAACTTTAGAATACCAGTCAAGTAACAACAAACTGGATGATTTTAATTAGAATTACATTGCATTAAAGATTACTTGAAGAAATTAAACATCTTCATAATATTGAGCCTTACTGTTTAGGTACAGTGTATTTTCTTTTTTTTTGGTGTAACTCTTCATTAGGTTTGTATATACATTTTTAATTTTAAGGATTTTTGGAAAGTTTTCTTATTGAATTATACAGTCAGAAAAGTGCACAAATCATTAGTGTATAGCTTAATTTTTATGAAGCAAACATATTGCTATAACCAGCACCTAGAGGCAGACATAGAGCACTACCTGAAGCCTAGAAGCTTCCCTCATGTGCCCTCTCTTTGATACCTCCCTGATGTAACCATTATGTTACTCTACCATAGAGTCATTTTATCTGTTTTTGAAGTATATAAATGGACCCTTTCAATATACTCTATTATGTCTGGCTTCTTTTGCTTAACATTGTGTTTTGGGGATTCATCTGTGTTTATGCATATTGTTCATTCCAGTAGTCCGTTCCTTGTTATCGTATAATTATTGTATAAATATTTTATAATTCCATATGCATTCTCTTGTTTATAGGCATGGAGTTGTGTCCAGTATTTATTATTAATTATGCTTTTATCAACACTCACACATACATACCTTTTAATACACAAATACACATTTCTGTCGGGTGTAGGATTGCTGGGTCATAGAATACATATATATTCAACTTTAGTAGATATTGCCAATTAGTTTCCAAAGTGGTCATACAAATTGTCACTCTTACCAGCCCAGTAAGAGTGTTCTTGTTGTTTCACATCCTCATCAACACTTGATGTTTATAGATTTGTTCTTCATTGTAGATATTTTGGTGAGTGCATTTTACTTTTTATTTCCAGAAATAGGAATGATATTTCCTATTTTATGCAGAGCCCACTTAAGTTTGTCCATATCTAATGGGACTATGTGCCCTCTAATCGATCTGTCAGATATATGCCCTTCACATATCTTCTCTCACTATGTCGCTTGTCTTTTCCCTCTCTTAATGGTGCATTTTGAGAAAAGTCTTTTTAATTTTAATGAAATTCAATTTACCAACCTTTTACTTTTGGGGTAGTAATATTGATGTCCTGTTTAAAAATATGTAGCTACTCCAAGGTCACAAAAATGGTCTCCTATGTTTTCTTCTAGAAACTTTTTCATTTTACCATTCACATTTAGGGCATGATACATTTGGAATTTTTTGTTGTTCGTGGTGTGAGGTCGTCATCCAGTTTGCTCCTAGTGTGTTAAGGATTTTTATATCTGTGTTTATAAGCTCCGTTGACTTGTAATTTTATTTTATTGTATTATTCTCATCTTATTTTTATAGAAAACTTAGGCTGTTCTAGAAAAGACACTGGTTAATATTCCTTCTTTTTCTGTTTACCAGTAGAGTCTTTAGATCTGACAGTATATTAGTTCCTTAAATGTTAAAAGAGTTTACTGGTGAAATCCATCTGAACATGAATGGATTTTTTTTTTTTGTATATTTTAAATTATAGATTAAATTTCTTTAGTGGGTATAGAACTGTTTAAACTGTATCTTTCTTATTTAGTTTTGGTAAGTCGTGGCTTTTCGAGATATTTGTCCACCTTGCAGTGTGACTCTTCTATGCTTACACTGTATTTAAGTGATGAGGACTGGGCTCTGGTACAAATAATCCTTTTGTTGTTTTAAATAAAAACAGTGAAATTATAGTGGTTGTTGAAATACATCAGATTTAGTTCTCACAGAGAGTTAATTCGAGTAAATTTGGGGGGCCAGGATATACTTTTTGTAAGTGGCTAATATTTAAATTGCATTCTTTACTGAGAACTTTATCCCTGTAGTACCAGATTCCTTTGTGTAGTGGCCAGACATAGAGTCGGTGGGACCCAGGTTCAAACCCTGGCTTGACCGCTTGCTAACGCTATGATGTGGAACAGCACAGTGCCTGGCACTAAGTACATATTGGATGAGTGATGTTTGAAGTTACTAAATGTATGAGGTTCTGTTTCCTTATTTGTAAAATAGTTACAGCAATAGGGTTGCTTGTAGCTTACAGGTAATTTATATAACTCTTGGCATATAGTAAGCTTTTAGTTAGTGCTAGATGTAATCTTAAGTT